GGTCTGCCTCTGCCTTGTCTGTCGTAGATCTTACTAATCATCACGATGTTCTCTAATACTTCTTAACTCATCAGATGACCAAAGAATACACACTGCCTCTTTCTTATAGTTGTATAAAGTTGAGACTTGGACTGAAACCAGTCATACATTTCATTAAAGAACAGCAAGTGAGATGGTTTGGCTACATGACGAGAATACCCTGGTACCAACTGCCACAGAGAGCCACGCTGAAGAAAAATGATGAACAGAAAGCAAGGAGAAGACCACGCAAAAGATGGAGCGACACCATCAGGAGCAACCTTACAGAAATGAACACAAACTTGTACAATGCAGTGGGAAAAGCGCATAAACGATCCTTACATCTTCCCTAATACCTCGCTAAAGTCAATGGTGGAAGAGAAAAAGAGAGAAAATATAATATATAGTTTTCTAATTTCATGAGCCATTTCCACAGTTATTGTTGGTTAATCTGATGATACACAGTATCTGCAGAATGCGTCTCAGAAGCCATATCTCCACGGCTCCCAAGTTCTTCTTAATTTGTTCATTCACATTCTGAGATTCACACTCATATAACACCACTGGTTCAACAAAACATCATAGGACTCTTTTCCTTCCTGAAACATGAACCTTGTGAATAGTTTCACAATGATTGTGGTTGCTGTACAATTCTTGATCAATTAGTGCTAAGGGAAGTAATGAAGGAATCTTTTAATGATTTTACATGCTTGTGGGGAATTTAAGGGTTATCCTCTAGTATCAGATGTATCTGATTCAAAAAGTAATTAAACAAAGTAGCATTTGGGTGAGTGGGTGGGGTGAACGAAAGAGTGATTGACTGAGTGAATGAATGAGTGAGTGAGTGAGCGAGTGAGTGAGTGAGTGAGTGAGTGAGTGAGTGAGTGAGTGAGTGAGTGAGTGAGTGAGTGAGTGAGTGAGTGAGTGAGTGAGTGAGTGAGTGAGTGAGTGAGTGAGTGAGTGAGTGAGTGAGTGAGTGAGTGAGTGAGTGAGTGAGTGAGTGAGTGAGTGAGTGAGTGAGTGAGTGAGTGAGTGAGTGAGTGAGTGAGTGAGTGAGTGAGTGAGTGAGTGAGTGAGTGAGTGAGTGAGTGAGTGAGTGAGTGAGTGAGTGAGTGGTTGTGGTGGGTGGGTGAGTGAGTGAGTGAGTGAGTGAGTGAGTGAGTGAGTGAGTGAGTGAGTGAGTGTGAGTGAGTGAGTGAGTGAGTGAGTGAGTGAGTGAGTGAGTGAGTGAGTGAGTGAGTGAGTGAGTGAGTGAGTGAGTGAGTGAGTGAGTGAGTGAGTGAGTGAATAAGTGAGTGAGCGAGTGACTGAGTAAGTGAGTGAGTGGGTGAATAAAAGAGTGAGTGAGTGCGTGCGTGCGTGAGTGAGTGAGTGAGTGAGTGAGTGAGTGAGTGAGTGAGTGAGTGAGTGAGTGAGTGAGTGAGTGAGTGAGTGAGTGAGTGAGTGAGTGAGTGAGTGAGTGAGTGAGTGAGTGAGTGAGTGAGTGAGTGAGTGAGTGAGTGAGTGAGTGAGTGAGTGAGTGAGTGAGTGAGTGAGTGAGTGAGTCGGTGAGTGAGTGGGTGGGTGAGTAAGCGGGTGAGTTGGTTAATTGCTAATGTTAGAAGCACCCATTCCAAGTGTTTCCACCTTGATGCGATTTCCGATGACCACATTGGCTTTGCCGACTGTAGCTTAGCAACTATACAGTAAGGTCTCCCATGTCAGACATGTCAAAAGATTGGAGCAAGACAAAGAGGGAAACAAACCTGATGTCACAGTTTACGGAAAACAAAGCTCCACCCCGGCAATACAAGAGGCGTTAGAATGCGAATAATCTGGCCATCCCGAGGTACGTGATCAGAGCCGAAATTTGGTGGGGGGAAAGGGGGAGGGGGAACTGCAGCAATACGACAATGTTTATTTTGGATATGGTTTCAATGTGTGGGAGTAAATTCCTGAGACATTGGTTGTTTGTTTGTTTGTTTGTTTGTTTGTTTGTATGTGAGGGCAGAACAGTCAAAGAAGCCAACGGCGCCTTCTCCATGACAACCAGCAGCATGACGATGGAGGTGATGGCAGTGACACAAGCGCTTGCCTGGCTTGAAACACAAAAATACACCCGCGTGTGTATACTCAGTGATTCAATGAGTATGATCCGGAGGGTTCAGGCAGGTTCAGTGCGAAGACAATGGCTTGAATCATTACAGAAGTCCACTGTTCGTGGAGTCACCTTTATTTTTGTTCCGGGACACGCAGGCGTCAATGGAAATGAAAGAGCTGACAGGTTGGCTGGATCCGCTATCACTACCGACGGTCAGCCTATGGATCATGCTGATATTATCAATGCCCTCAGAGAAATGGGAAGAATAGAGGACTTTGGTGGCAGTGAATCCACATCACTCGCCAGAATGGCAGACTTGGGAATTAAGATCGGCACAGCAAAAAACGAGACGCACACCAGCTACGCCAGAAGACTTGTTAATCAACATAGAACTGGTACTATTAGCCATCGGACGTTGGGGTTCATACTGAGGGGAGGATCTGAGCACCTATGGACATGTATGGAGTGCAATGAGGATAACCCAACTAACTAACTAACTAACTAACTTGTATGTATGTGCGCGCGCGCCTGTGTGTGTTATTGTAGGCTGGTGGGGTGTGTGGGTGTATGTGTGTGGGTGTGTGTTGTCACAAGTTGTTCACTCCTACATGAACTGCTGTTCGTCTTTAGCTGCACAAGCATGACATACAACAAATGGGTGCTGGTCATTTACCTTTATCGTTTGACTTTTCGTGAAGTCTTGTACGTTATCCAGTCTAGCGTCGATGACTTAAGATGACTTGCCCCAAGAGTCCTAAGCATGCCAGCATCGCTACATCCATTAAGTGTACTCACTATATGACATTCCGTGTTAAAGTGTTTTCACACACTAGTTCCAGCAAAATCACAACACACACTCACACACAACTGGCAGAGATAGACAGTTGTAAAAGAGAAATTTGGTAAATCCTCTTTATCGTCTAATTCCTTTACGAGAGAGAGAGAGAGTTTGTGTGTGTGTGTATGTGTCTGTGAGAGAGAGAGAGAGGGAGAGAAAGAGAGAGAGAGAGAGAGAGAGAGAGAGAGAGAGAGAGAGAGAGAGAGAGAGTACGCCTGTTTGGTCGAATAATTTCAGAGCTCCATCAAGTCACTGTGCGAAGGGAAATAACTAAATAATATTTTGATGATTGGACTCGCTTGTGTGGAAAACAAGGATTATCTGCTGCGAATTGTGTGTCATATTTGAAGGACATATGAGAAAAACTAGATACAGTTGTATAAAGAATACGCATGTAAATCTCCTCACAAATAATTTTGATTTGTACATGAGTGCCATACATAAACACCCACATTTTATTTATCTAGTTTCCATACTTGATCTAAATAGTTGCTTCTTTTATCCTATGCTACACAGGACCTCACAATTACCCGAGGCAGGTGTATTAGTAACAAGTGCCAGAACTAAAACTTGTTTGGGTATTAAACCGGATATCTGGGATTTTCCTGCTGGTCTTCCATCCAGACTGTAATTTTTTGTGCAGGGAATTTATCTACTAAAACTGTGTTCTTGCATTTAATCTTTAATCCATGTTGCATCTTCTCCTTAGCATTCACCGGCTGTTAAATCCGTCAAAAAGTTCTTGTTGTTCACCTAGACTTTGGTTTTGATCCAGAACCTGAGTCTTGCCTGCATGTCCACTGCACATATTATTTATATGTAGCCTGGAGCTCGCTTGCCTCTCCTGCAGATGCACTCTGACTGTAAAGGAAACATCATATTTCGTCGAGTTTTACTATATGCTTGTTGGGGGGGGGGGGGGGCAGTGTAATTGTTCTTTATTCTAAAAACCTGAGCATGGGAATTCACACGGAGAGAGGCTGCACCGAATATGTCCCCTTTCTACGATTGCTTCACCCTAGTAAAACGGGACAAGGCAGAGAAAGTCCCCATACAGCTACTCGATAGACAAGATGTGCTGGGAAATAAAAATGTCCCTTCATGCGAACGAAAGAAGAAGAAGAAAAATGTCCCTTACATATACTAATACCTACAGCATACTCTATAGAAAGAAACAATACTACTCACACCCACATATAACAGCAAGTTAATTCGTAAGCGCAGGACACCTTAATAAAATTATTTTTTCCATTGTAGGTTCCGGGGCCTAACTTTCCCCATGTTGGTTCTGGGGCCCAAATCTCTCCGTGTGGGTTTCCAGTGCCCCAATTTCCCCGCGTGGATTCCGGGACCCCAATTTCCCAGTGTGGGTTCTGGGTCCCCAATTTTCCCGTGTGGGTTCCAGGGCACTAATAATCCCTCGTGGGTTCCGAGGCTATTTTCCTGTGTGGGTTCCGGGGTCCCACTGTGTGGAAAACAAGCGTGCTTTTTTCGACTGTGACCATCGTGGTGGTGTGAATTGTAGATTCAGAAAATGGCTCGATGCCTTCGTCGCAATGTTGGCGGTGCCCGTATGTGATTAAAATTGATCGCGTGGGCAACTGCTGATCTGTTGGTGACTTCTGCTACCATCAATGATGAACTGCATTTCTAATGTCGGACTGTTTGTGTTAGCACTTCGGATGGCTACCGTATGCTTTAATGTGAGTGTATGCTAGGTCAACGCCGTGTCTAATAAATAGAGAAGGCGTGGCTAGATATGCTGAAACAGCAGCTTGTCAATCTTTCCACAAGATAAACATTCTGTGTGTTTTTCGTTTTCACAAGAGCGGAGCAAAGATGGGGTGACCCGTTTGCTATGAAGCTGAAACTAAGACTACCAGACCAGACAAAATTGCACTAGATGAAATAATGCATTTTAACCTAAGAGCATATAGTGAATGTATTTTATACCGAATGCAGAGAAATATAGCTTCCGTTTCCGGTAAAACAGAAAGACGCTAACGTTGTTTTGTCGTTTGTGGTTTATAGAGGCTCATACAAATAATAATATTATCACAGAAAATGAGTAAGGCACATCCACCAGAGCTTAAAAAGTAAGAGATGTCTGTACTTGTTTCTTGATGATCACTAATTCCAACAGACTTTTTTTTTCGCTAACAGTTTGTAAATTATCAAATAATGATAATGTTTTAGATCCACCAACGGTATCTCCTCAGCATCTCATTCTACTACTACTACTAGCGGAAGTTCTAGTAGTAGTTCGTTCTACGTACTGAGTACTGCGTCAATTCTAAACCGAGGTATTAATTAAGTAATTTATCAAATAAATAATTGGAATATGCATGTATAGAGTATTAGGGGAAAATACCTCTTCAGAACTTTCAGGAAATGCATGCTTTTTTTTTTCTGGGCATAGGATAGGAGGCATACGGTCCATACCATAGCAACCATAACCATTTATTCAAATAATCAATATGTCCATATAGGTACTTAAGTCAAATTTTTAGCACAGTTAGATAGCTGTAAACAATTTCTTTCCAACGGTACCTCATTTAGGCTTGTGTGTCATTTCTGAGCTGAGATATGTAGGTTTTTGTGGAGATGTAGAAAGCAGCTGCTAAAACTTGTGACCCAGAAACAAGAAGTTTTCTCTGCGCACCAAACAGCGCACTTATCGTTTTGGCTTTGTTTACATTGGACTGTCATTGGACAAGATGGCAGGCAATGGGACACAGCCATTGGCTGAGAGCCAGCGATTGCCTGAAAAATGTCACTACATATACCTAGCCACTGACAAGAAAGAAATTTTATATACAAATTTTAAAATAAATTGGACGGAGAATTCAATTATAACTAGCATTACCATGTCTAGTAACAGTTAAAGCCTAAAGCCAACCCTGAATACTCATCGCTATTTTCAATCAAACTGATGTAACAGAAAAACAGAGGACGTCCAGCTGTCGTACACATGCGCTGTTATTCAGGTTCCTTCCTGCCGTTTTCAGCTTTTTATAGTGGGTGAAAATCACACCAATCGCAAAATTTCATGAGAGATTAGGACCCATCCCGAAACCCCAGCCGAGATTTGCGGGTAACGGAAATTGCCAAAAGACCGCAAATTGCCGAACACCGTAATCGCTAGTCCATAATTTCATAAAAATAAAACTTGGCAAGATCTAACAAAATAAACAGTTTACTTTAGCCTTTAGTTTACATAATTTTTTTTTCAAGTGAACATTTATTACGTATTTTAAATAGTAAATACATTTACATCATACCTATTTTACTAAACTGCTATAGCAGGGCTATTCAACTAAGTCTACTCGCGGGCCAGAATGTTTTACTTTAAAATGTGGATCGTCGCAAGCCATTGGCCCTAGCCAAGTGTGGGAAGATTATTAACTCACTACAGTTGAGAAAACTGTCAATGTGTAAATTTAATACTCTAAGACTGTTACGCCTAGGCACCCTTGGCCCTGGCCTGCGATAGTATAAATAAATGAAATGGTGTTGAAAACCATTATAATGTAAAATGTACTATAATCTTTTGTAATGATTAAATAATACTAACTTTTAATTGAAATACATGTATTTCCAACTTGTTATTTGAATTTTAAATGAACGTTAGAATTGTCGCTATACTCACGCGGCGTGAATTGGGGCTACAAACTACATGGCTGGGACTCACAAGCAAAGCTGCAGGAGATGCTGCTCGTGAGTCCTAGCCATCTAGTTTAGCCCCAATCCACGCCGCGTAAGGGATACTCTCGGCGGTGGCGGTAATCGCCGAAAATGCTCAATTAACACGTGACTGAGGCTCTGTTAGGGTTTTTTTGCGGCCACCTTAATATGTGCCCGTTATTCAGAGGATAGCCGAATTGTCACTTAAATTGCATTGTCATGATAATAATAACTGTCCACAGTTCATTTCATATGGCTTTGTGCAGAAGAAACTGAAAGTTATAATGATGCAGAATGTAATTAATAGGAAAAGTTGCATCCCTTTTTTTTGGAGCAAATTTTATAAAATTTGGTTGGTGAGAAGTCAGAGCAATTCTCATGCAATCCTGCAGCCTATCATTGCTCAGTTAGCTCCAACTGTCTTGATCTCTGTAGATTTGTCAGTGGCAGCTGACACAAATTCTGCATGCTTTATGTTTCAGTTTTATTTTTATCCATTGTAATTTGTTCATTAAAAAAAAAATGAAATTACTAGATTAACTTATGTCTGCTTTCTGTTCCAGATACATGGAGAAAGTATTGACCTGTAAGTAAAAGCATTATTTAAAAAAATCTTCATGCTGTTTTCAGTTATTAACTCATTCTGTCCCAGGCCAACCACTGATAATAAAATTATTACACAATATTAACCCAGAGCAAGGGGAAGATCACGCAAGAGATGGAGGAGCGACATCATCAGGAGAAGCCTAACAGAAATGTACACTAATTTGTACAATGCATTAGAAAAAACGATCCTTACATCTACCCCCAACACCTCGATGAGGTGCAAGAGAAGAAGAATAATTATAATATTTACTATTAATATGAAATCATATTTCTACTATTATCACAGTAAATAAAACTCAATGTGATTTCTTCCCATGTGGGTTCCAGGGTCGTATATAAATCCACTGCTCCTTAACAGGCGAGTTGTAAAAGGTGAATAATTAAGGATTTGCAGATATCACAACGTAGCAGTAACTATATCATGACGTGCCAGTGGCCTTGGTAATGGCAAAATACAGAAGAACCCAACATGATGGCTGTGCCAACACACAAATAGCCTAGTTCTGCTCTGAATAAAATAGTCAGATTATAACAGGAATATTTAGTATTGTAAAATTCCACCAGCAATCTTCCCCCAAAGACTTAAACATACTCAGATTAGAAATACATCTAACAACATGTGTCAAGACAATACATCTGCAGGGAAAAATAACAATCATAGAAATGATAGAAGTTCTCAAAGGATGTGGCATGAAAGTAATAATCAAGTTGCTTTAAAATGTTATATCTTCATTGTGGCCGAAATATTTAATGTCTGTTCTTCAGCATCTCTCTTTTCATTTCCAATTTCTCCAGAATCTCTGTATTTTGTTGCTTTTGTTTCTTGTAATATGACCTATTCTTTTTGCTTATTCACATCTCAAGATTCAGTTCTGCTTTCTAACTGCTTATTCGTTGTCTGAGTCTCTGCGCAGTTCAGCAAGGTTAAGTATAATATTTGATAGTTTGTAAGTGTCCTAATTTCCTAAGTGTATCACCAAGAAGACGATGGAGAGATAATATCCAGAGAGTTATGCAAACACTTGGGTGTCACCAACTTGAAAGAGAAAGCCAGCCAGAGAGATGAGTGGAGGCATGTGGTATCTGCAGCAGTGAACCTGAAGGCTCTGAATGCTAAAGAAGTAGTTTATATCTTTTTTCTTCCAGTCAGATTTAATAAAATGTGCATACTATTTGGTTTCATTACATGGTGACTTGGTAAAGTTGACTAGTATTTATGTAAAATGAAACATACCAGCGGCTATTTTATATGTTTGTCTGTACTGCTTAATTGTTTTCCTGATTAAGGTTTTCCAAATTTGAACATAAATTATGCATATTTTTATAATAGTTGTGGCCTTTTCCATATACAGTGAAGCTCAATGGCAATCGTAAAGTGACTGGTACACTTCGAGGATTTGACCCTTTCATGAATCTTGTAGTGGATGACAGCGTTGAGGAGACAAAGACTGGAGAAAAAAGAAACATTGGGATGGTGGTGAGTGCTTTTGTCAGTGTTATTTTGGTGTCATTACTTGTGCAGTCTTTGCAGGAGGCAACTGTTTGGTGCAGTTTAATTGTTACTGTCCTTACGTATGGCACATATTTGGTCAATCTTTTTATGGTTGCATGAGACTTGTGTGTGTGTTTATTAGATGCTAGCACAGAACTAAAATACATTTGTATCCTTATTTTAATTATAATAATAAATTGTTACTGCAAGAATGAATATAGTAAATGTAAATTAAGGAAGGGATTTTTGTTGTTGTCTTTTTCATGTTCACTGGCAGAAATTATGGTTGTTCATCCACTTCTAGACTTTATCTTGTTCCAGGACTTGAGTGTTGCTGCAGATCCATTTTTTAAAAGATTTTTTTTTATATGCAGACTGTTGGTTCTTTGCCTCTCAGGCAGATGCCCTTTGACTTTTAAGGAAACTCATAATGTCAACTCTCACAATATTCTCATTAGGGAGGCAGCCCCCCCCCCCCCCCCCCCCCCCCCCCGTTTTTCCAAGGCAGCCCTGGGACCACACAGTGAAAGTAAAGGATATGTTAATGCAAGTTCATTTTGGACATATGAATGATGGTAAACTCCTATTTTTTTATAGAACAGTCGGCACTTGATGAGTAATGTAGTTACATCACACTGAGAAATTGAGATAAAATATATTTGTATGATATAAAATTATTTTATCCTCTTAGTTTGTTGTGTGTATATCTGTATTTCTAAATCATATCCATTGACTTGTTTCTGTGATTTCCTCAGGTTATTCGTGGCAACAGCGTTATACTATTAGAATCTCAGGAAAGAGTGACATAGTTCCCATCCTTTTTAACTGAAAGACGTCACAGCTTTGATTTTACTTTTAATTGTAACATTTTTTTTTTAATGTTTATTTCCATTTCAGATCATTAAAAAAAAATCTTGTCCATTTTTATGAGGATGATCTGTTAATATTTTGTTGAAGTTTAATTTGAAACAAATATGTGCAGTCGTGAACAGGTTAAACACTTAGTCAAACATACCAAATTTCCACAAGCTTTAATGCTTAGCCAGCTTTATCGAAGAGTTTGATTACAATAAAGCAGGAAAAAACTGTTTGATGTTAAAAAACTTTTTATTTAAGATTTAAAACATTTGAAAGTCAGCCTGTTAAAGCTGGCAACCAATGCCAAGTAAAGGTGCTTTAATTAAACTTGAAAAAAAAAGAAATAAAATTATGTTGCTTTATAGTTTGTTTTATTTATCACAAACATTCAGAAATGCAAAAGTATGACCCCTATTTGCATGTATATTATGTAATACTGACTTTGAGTTGATAGTGTTGGGGTTTCAAATCCCTGTGTAATTCCAGGATACTGCGTTGGGGGAGGGAGGGAGCAATATGCCTGATGCCACTATAACAAGCATGTCATGAAAAGTGTCTAATTAGGTGTTTGCCGAAATCAGGTGTGTTCGGTCAAAAGGCAGGGACATTAAAGCCTGGTTGTAAACCACAACACAGTGTGCAGACTGCTCTCTTAAGGCAGTGCAGAGGGAAAAGAAGAGATTCTGTATATTAAATATAGTAATGACCTGGCCGCTGTGTGATATTAAAAATGAAAGACAGTTGATACATCTTCTCTTCCTTCAATGTCAAAGCGCGTCTGCCTGTGAGATAAGGAACTAGCAGTCTGCATACAGATAAGAGCCAAACCTGTAAAATGGATGTGCATGCAAAACTCAAGCTCTGGAACAAAACAAAACTCTAGAAGTAGATGAACAACCATAATTTTCTGTTGGAGTTTGGACCTGATAACGTGAAGAACAAGAAGAAGAAAAAACATCTTTTGACAAAACAGATCATATCTTCTTTTGATAAATACAGCTTCATTGTTAATTATGGTCTAAGAATTTGTTATTGCTTATTTTGTAGTAGGTGTTTTTCTGCTGTTTGTTTTCCCCATTGATGTGCAGTTGTAACTTGTGACAGGAACAGTCAAATAAAATTGTGTTTAATAGCAATCAGTTGGTTATTAGTTGTTTTTTGAGAAATATTTGTTGCAAACTCTTTACTAATGCATCAGACAACATACACTGAAATTTTACGGGCAGTAAATCTTGCAGCATGTTTAGGTATTAGTTATTTTTTTGAGAACAACGTTACGAGAAGCCTGGAAAGAGAAAACATTTGAAGTATTCTCAATTGTAGTCTTTGTTAACATTAACTTTGCCCCAGTAATGTTAAGTCTTGCAGCATGTTTAGGTATTAGTTATTTATATTAACAAAAATGTTAAGAGAAGCCTGGAAAGAGAACATTTGAAGTATTCTCAATTGTAGTCTTTGTTAACATTAACTAAATGTAATGTTAAAAAAAGGGGTCATGAACTCGAGTCAGTTCTTTAGGAAAATTCTTTTTAAAAGAAAAGAACATATCACAGGCCAGTAATAAATTCTTGCGTGTTGCTGACCACATCACCCAGTGAACGCTGACCACATCACCCACTGAATGCTGACCACATCACCCACTGAACGCTGACCACATCACCCACTGAACGCTGACCACATCACCCACTGAACGCTGACCACATCACCCACTGAACGCCTTACACATCACCCAGTGAACGCTGACCACATCACCCAGTGAACGCTGACCACATCACCCAGTGAACGCTGACCACATCACCCAGTGAACGCTGACCACATCACCCAGTGAACGCTGACCACATCACCCAGTGAACGCTGACCACATCACCCAGTGAACGCTGACCACATCACCCAGTGAACACTGACCACATTACCCAGTGAACACATCACCCAGTGAACGCTGACCCCATCACCCAGTGAACGCTGACCCCATCACCCAGTGAACGCTGACCCCATCACCCAGTGAACGCTGACCACATCACCCAGTGAACGCTGACCACATCACCCAATGAACGCTGACCCCATCACCCAGTGAACGCTGACCACATCACCCAGTGAACACATCACCCAGTGAACGCTGACCCCATCACCCAGTGAACACATCACCCACTGAATGCTGACCACATCACCCAGTGAACGCTGACCCCATCACCCAGTGAACGCTGACCACATCACCCAGTGAACACATCACCCACTGAACCCTGACCACATCACCCAATGAACGCTGACCACATCACCCAGTGAACGCTGACCACATCACCCAGTGAATGCTGACCACATCACCCAGTGAACGCTGACCACATTACCCAGTGAACACATCACCCAGTGAACGCTGACCACATTACCCAGTGAACACATCACCCAGTGAACGCTGACCACATCACCCATTGAACTCTGACTACATCACCCAGTGAACGCTGACCATATCACCCAGTGAACGCTGACTGGTCTATAAAATATAGGTCAAGCCCTGAAGGCATGGAAAAGGGTCCTTTATTTGCACTAATAAATTGGTTAAAATTTTGTGTATGCTTTTAATTGCCTCCAAAATATATATAAAAACTAATCAGTAATAAGACGAAAAGAGGAAAGCATTAAATAGAATACATTCCCAGGGTCTTACCAAAAAAAAAGTATGTATCATGTGACCCCTATCATAGACGCTGCAGGGATGACGTGATGTTACTATGTCTTTAAAAAAACTTTAGTTCACAAAGAAACCCCATAAGTGCTATTGTTAATAAATCTATCCATATCCTGACCTCCTAAGCGCTGCACAAATGCGAAAACATCCAGTTGAGTTAACTGTGCATGTTGAGCTGGTTAAACAGCTTTTACAGACAAAAAGACCTACCTGGAAGTGCAGTGTTTGCTGCTTACTGTGGCAAGGGGTTAAAATAACAGTTGAATATGCTTAAAGCATTGCAGTATTTGTTGGCCTGGCATGTTTTGCTGTATCTCATGAGACTATGATTTGAGTATGCCAGTTAAAAGGGTCCATACTTGTGCTTTATTATATTTGGATATTTCCCATGTAGATTCTGAGGGTCCATTGGGGGGAGGGGGGGGAATAGACTGCCCCCTAACAAGCATGAAGTAAAAGCAGACTAATTAGGGGTGTTTCTATCGAATTCAAAGTGCATTTGTCTGATAGGCAAGGAAGCAAAGTTTTGGAACAAGACTAAAAGTCTGGAAGTGGATGGACAACCAAAACTGTCTGCCTGAATTTACAGCCAGTGAGAACAAAAACAATAAGAAGGACAACAAGACTGAAATCCTGAAGTGGATGAACAAGTAGAACCTTTCACAGGAGATTACAGCCGGTAAACACCAAGAAGAAGAAAATATGTTGATGTAAATTCTGTATTATTGCAAGGTACGAGGTACAGTGAAATATGCCAGGCAATATATTGTGTGTTCCCTCATTATTTAAATTGACACAAACACATCTCATGACTGACCGGCCATTTTAAAAAAATGTCAGCTGGTTGTAGGTTATTTTTATATTTATTTATTGATACAATATTATATAGGAGTGATTAGTAATTTAAAGCAACATGACACAATACAAATGCAACAGTACATACAGCATTATTTTGTATATATATATATATATATATATATATATATATATATATATATATGCACACACATACATAATATTAAACATTCTTTATACCATGTCATTTACCCAACAGACTGGTGTTAAGTTTCTTTGATTTTATACTGGACAAATTTTTGGGTTAAATATGCATTTAAAAAAAAAAAAAAACTTTTGCATCAAAAAAAAAGGTTTCGTGTTTTCTCTGATAACTCACGGTTGTTTCCCCTTTGGTAATCCTGAGAACCTTATCCTGGATGGTAAACTAACAGAAAATTCTAGATACCTTGTTGAATCTCTGAAGAAATAATTGAAGGGCATGTAATAAACCTGTAGTCTGCAGGCACTGTAGATAAGGACAGTCTAAACACCTTTCTTCTTCCTTGTTCACTGGCTGTAAGCCCTGGTGGAAAGTCCTGGTTGTTCATTAATTTGGCTTTGTGCCAGGGCCTGAGTTTTGTGGGTACATCTCAGTTTTACTAGTTTATTTTTATGCAGTTGGTTGTTCCTTGCCGCTCAAGAGATGCATTCAGTCTTCGAAGTAAGTCCCCAATTAGTTGACTCCTACGACATGCTTGTTGGGGAGGCATTGAGTCTACTCTTGTTTTCCCCCACAATGGGGTCCCAGAGCCCACACAGGGATAACACCTCCTTGGCTTCTTCTGATTTGTCATTCTAATATAAATTTGCATGCACACACACAATTGTTTTAGAAAAATACCCATCTTCAGTACTTTATTACAGTCTAACACATGAACTTGCTATGTTGTCAAATAAGGCAGAAATTCACTTGCAGTGGATTCCGTCACACTGTGGCATCAAAATCAATGAAAGCTCAGATGCTTTAGCCAAGGAAGGCAGTAACAAACCACAGACCTACCAGCCACTATCTTTTCCAGAAGTCAAAACTTTCATTAAGAGAAAATCAGAAACAGATTGGAAAACCAACACTGGTTATAACTACGAAAAAGATTTTCTGAAACACTTGAACAGAACAGACCAAGTCACAGTTTTTCGCTTACGCACTGGACACTGCAGACTCAATAAACACTCACATAAATTAGGTATGAGCCAAACAGCTCTCTGCCGGTGCCTTCGTGCTGAACAGACTCCAGAACATGTCCTGCAAGACTGTCCTCTCCTGGCGGAGCTGCGGAGCGACATATGGCAACACCCAGTAGAACTGACAACTAAGCTTTGGGGAAACCTAAGAGACCTTGAAAAGACATCCCAGTTTATGACCCACAGTGGATTATGCGCATGACCAGAGATCGCTGAAGAAGAAGTTCTTTATTACAATATATAACTATTTTCAGTAAGTTTTAATGGCATTTCTTTATTATGGCATGTGTGCTGTCTCAGTATCCTTCTTTGCGGACATTTTCAAGGTAACTTCCCTTATCTCATAATATTAACTAGCACTGAAATGACGTTAAAGCAAAAATATTGAGTATGGAAAAGTCTTATCGCCTCTTTCTTCAGCCGAATTGTAATCTCAGTATATAATTAAAGTACATGTGCATACAATTGCATACAAATGAGCAGGCATTTACATGCATACACACACATACATTCAAACAGGGTGGAGAAAGAGAGAGTTTTCGAACACAACAGATTATTTACATTCTTTACAGTAAAATCACAGTAATTAAATATAATTCATAAGTCACTGAACTTTTAAAACACAAGCGTGTCTTGTGTTTCTGATTTCTGCATCTCTGGATGCATACAAAAATTAGTTGGTTCATGTGCAAAAGTTCAGTGACTATGCTATGACATGTATAGTACAATGGTAGCACATGCAGTCACAATGAAACAAGTTAATGTAACCACGTATAAGTTATCGCTTTTTCATTTTTAGGCTGACACACACACATATTCAGGTGTTTGAGATATAAACAGGCAGATGTGTTGGCTGGTTCTGCACTACTTGGTGGTAAATAGATGCATGATAAGGTATATGTGGTAGTGAGTGAACAGTGGAGAAGCACAAATAGATCAGCACAGTTTGAAGGTCGATGGTGAAGTAGGAAGTGACCAGATCTGGTTGACACTAAATACTCAGAGGAAAGGCAAGATGGACACACAGACTGCTACTAGTACCGTCAGAACTGGAACTCTATGCTGGCTGCTGAAGATGAGGATGCAGTGTGTATGATAATGTCCTGAGTAATGTAATGCAGGTTCTTAACATACAAAAACTGAAGCCACAATAGCGCAGAGCCATTAACATGTTTGCCGATCTTAGTCTTGGGTTTTATCTCAGTTGAGACACTTTTTAAAATGGGTTGGGTGTCCCAATTAGACCCACTCCTGAGAAGTACAAGAAAAATGTTGTGGGAAGAAAAAGCAGTTGATCTTATGCTATTTGGTTTATAAAAATCCTGGGCTTGCAACCTATGCCCAGTATACCTTAGGGAATTGAATCACTTTTTTTTAAATTTATAAACACAAATTCAAATAACACTTTTCACTGAAGATTTCTATTCAACCTAACCTACTGTGATATTGGTTAGAGGTGGTCCTTATTTATGTGTGTGTAAAGAGAGCTTTTCTGAAACACTTGCATTTACTTGTTTTGACATGACTGCATATGTGAGCACTGTACTATACACATGTTTCTAAACAAGTCATCTAGCAGCATTTATCATGATGTCTTCAGACAAGCTGTGTGAGACGCCTGAGTACCGACTGTCTTGTTTACTTTACTATCTGGTGCTGGACTTGTCTGGGAATTCACAATTGGCACTTCTGACATGTTTGGCTTTTTTGGCTTTGTGTCTGAATTCACATTTTGTTCTGTAGTACCCAGTGTTGTTCCATTCATTATTCTGTGGATGAAGTATATGTCATCATTAGACATAACTTATATCATTTTCTTCAAGTAAAAATGCTCAGCTTTGATGTTCCTTCTGTGCTACTGGAAATATAGAATGCATTTCTTGACAGAATAGTGTCTAGGGAAAAGACATGGATTGACTTCATGAATGCCCACTCTACCTACAACTTCGAAAAGAAATCTGCTGGTCTCAAGAGCACAGTGTGCAGAGCAAGCTATAGGGAACCATAAAGGCCCTGCTACTGACATGCGAGTTCATAGAGGCTACCCACCTAATGGTCTGATTAGAGCATACAAAACCGAAAACAAAGACGAAGAAGATGCACAAGTGACCAGTCAAAACAGTTAGTGCATACTCATTCACCAGACAAACCCCAAAAATTCATGAAAACATTTTCGCAACTAAAAATAATAGTTATAGTGTTTAATGCAAGAGCATTTTTTTGTTGATGAAATTGATGACATAAGAGACAACAGTAACACCAGAAGTTCATTGTGAAACACTGAAGAAGCTTTGTTGTTGGATCCAAACCAAAAGGCGTGAAATGCTCACTAGTCATGTCATTATCCTGCACAACAATGTGTGGCCCCACACTACTGCTTGCACAAAGTCTTTACTAGAGCAGGTTAGTGAGATATTTGCACACACACACACACCACCCAGTTGTTTTGTAACACTAGCCCAGAAGGAACATCAGAGCTGAGCATTTTGACCTTCTGTTTGAAGAAAAAGAATTACACCATGAATTTTACAGTTGGTGGGACATGCAATGAAAGTATCTATGTTTATTTATTCATGGTTCGTAAACCATTTGAAAATTTAACTGTAGATTAGTACTGAGTGAGCTAAAAGGCTACTGAATGATGCCAGCAGTGAACGGTGTGGATATGGTAAGCAGTTAATTTTTACCAGCCAATCAGAGGTTGGTTTTGGAATAGCCCTCATATTTAATAAGGCTGATTTTACAGTCATGAATGGTTTAAAAAAAAAAATCTTGAACTGGTATTTAAACAGACAATATGGCTGTTAGTGATAAATTATTATTTTAAAACAATGTTTTCCCGTAATGAATTTAAATAATGCGGATACAAACAATACATTGCACAATTTATTGCCAGGCATATTTCGTATCTCATGAAACACACACAATGTATCGGAAGAAACTGTTCGCATTTCAGTTTAATTTACTCAGTTTTGTGCTTTATTTTATGTTGATGTAACTCTGTAGAAATGCACCTGATGAGATACAGCGAAATATGCCTGGCAATAAATTGTGCAATGTATTGCTTGTATCCGCATTATTTAAATTATTATTTGCAATATGACCTGGCAACCTGATTGTCCTTGATATTTTTGCTACTTACAGTTTTCTATTGTAGTATGGAAAGGCCTTGAAAAGATCCAAGCACTCCTCCTGTGTTTTGTTTATCATCTGTTAACAGAAAAGATATATTTTCTGTCTGTTATTACATACGGTGCAAGATTATTTGCCAGGCCTACTGAGTGCGAAAACACAGGCAAAGTGAACTTTCAGAAAACATTAAAACACACGGAGAGTTGAAATGCATGTATTCACCTAACACTTTCAGTACCCAGCAATTCACCATGTGTTTACTAAAGTTGCTTCAAGTGCTAAATGTTTCAGAATGGCCATGTAATCAATCCAGCTGCAGCTGTAACCCACCCTTTTGCAGCCATTGCTTTGGTTCTTTTGACCTATAGTTGTTTTGTTTACCGCACAGTCCCAAACACACAACACTTTTAGGAACTACTGAGTAGGAAATGAAGAGTCAAAGAAATCTTGGATTAAAAGGGTTATTCTGTCTCATAGTGTGGAAACCGAGGGTAGCTTACTGGTTACACACTTTCCTGCTGATGTGCCAGAAGCAAGCTAATTATTCTGACCAAGTATTTACTTTCATGTGTACCATCCTGGGCAGATACCATTCTGGCAAATAAAATGAAGGTTGACCATGGTCTCTGCCACAATGAAGCCTGCCAGGGATTGAAACTTGCCTGCTAGGAGACTAAAAACCTTAACAAAATGGGAGGCAGAAAAACATGAAGATAACAACACAAATTGACATCTGGGCCGGGGGCTTTTATTGTCATGAAATGAACTACACAGTGGTAACAATGATATATATATATATATCACTTGTATTGTCTGTTTTCTTATGCGGATGTGAGAGTTGTAATCTCACTGTGGAAATGGAAAGGAGGATTCAGACTTTCGAAATACTTCAGATGAATTAGTTATTTTAGCCACTTACACACCCCTCGTCGTCCCCCCCCCCCCCCCCCCGCACATTGCACAATTTCTAGTTGAAAATCGGGGGAGGGGGTATGAGCACTCCCCCCCCCCCCCCCCATAGGATAATTTCGGGCAAGAGGTCTCCTCTTCACCCCAATACGCCCTCCTCACCACCTAGGCAAAATTAGGTGGGGGTTGAGACTCAAAGGACCCCTATGTTCCAGCGCCATTATTACTCTTAAACCAAAACAAGTGTTTATATTACCTCAGATGTTATACTGTCTTTCTTGGATGACTGTTTGGCTAATCTCTTTTTCTTCTTATGTAGTGGTTTTGTCTCTATGATCATTTCCTCCAGTTCGTAGGTTGGATCACAATTAAGATGGTCTTTCTAAATAAAACAACAACAGTATGTAGTGAAATAATGTGAACACAAACATTGTATATTGCATAGTTTATTGCCAGGCATATTTCGCTGTATCTCGTCAAGTGCGTTGCTACAAGGTTAATCAGCATAAAATGAAGGAAAAAACTTATTCTTCTTCTGGTCCACTAAATATATTCACAATATTCTCCTTGTCCACCCAATATATTCACAATATTCTCCTTGTTCACCCAATATATTCACAATATTCTCCTTGTTCACCCAATATATTTGCAATATTCTTCTTGTCCACCCAGGATATTCCCATGTAAATTAGACACTGGTGTTTATGTTAATTCAACGGATCAACATCATGTCACATGGGTGTAATCCATAAGTGCTCCGTTTTACCTCTAACTCAAGCCTGAGTCTTGAGAATCTCAGCACAGTGTACGAACCCTGTAGCACCGGTGAGGATCCTGAAATACTTTGAGTAGATTTTAAACTCCAAATAACACCATGGTTGCCAATGAATGAATGATGGAAAGCAAGCAAGGACTTATACCTATGCCTTGGAGAATAAGCACATACAGATTATGAAAAAGAGGTAAATTAAACAGGCCGTTTTTTTTTTTTTTTTTTTTCAAGGAAAATCTGTGTCCGCCCTTAAAAGGACGGCTGGCACGTTATGTCTTGGTTAACAGCTTGCCAATGATACTTGTGGCTTTCGACCCAGCACATCAGATTTGTGGCACATTCCTTATTTAGTCAATTTTACGACTGCTTGTTGGGAGCAGTAGATTCCTTTCCCTCCAAAATGATGATAAGGAATCCACAAGGTAAAATGAGTATCTGGTGCTAAGTGTATAACTGTTGAAACTTTTTTTTTTTAAGCATAAAGAAGATTTCATGTAATAAAATATACCGAAAAACTTTTACCAACATTAAAAACATAAAAATAAAAAGGTGACAATGCACATTATTTGCGCATGTTTTTGAGGGAAGAACTGAAGTACTTCGTGAACACTGTAAAAAGTTAATGGGGACAGAGAGTTAGGAGAACAGAATAGACAAAGACAGATTGTTTAAAATCATGGATGTATCAAGGAAGGTCAGTGTGAGAAATGGTTGGTCGTACATGAGACAGAAAGATATGGACAGCCATGATCAATGTCACACGGTATCTATTTTAAGAAGAAGGAGAAGAATTTGGTCCTGTCTTTCCTGTACATATGTAGACAGGCAGAACAAAAGGCCGAGCAAATCCTTCAAGGCTGAACATTGGCCTAGAGACAAATTCGGAGCTGCAATGGTTGCTTCACCTGTTTACGCTACAGACTCAGATGACAACAGTAAAGGACCCCTCTTTACGTCTATGACGCATGGGGCATATAAAGTTAAAGACTCATATTTGTATGCACCAGTCGGTGCTCGGTCAACATCATGCAAGCCAACTTTACTTCTGATGAAATTACAAATTTAAGACCGGTCAACCTCAGAGACTTCCTGTGTAGGTTTCGGGGTCCATTTTTGGAGGGGAAAGGGGGGAGAAGAGGAAGGATAGACCCACTGGCCCCTAACAACACATGTCGCAAAAGTCGACTAATAAAAGGCTTCTTTTTTTTTCGAAGTTGGAGTGCGTCTGCCCGAGAGGCAAGGAATTTACAGCCTGTGAACAAGATGTAAAAGAACAAGACCTGGCAGATAAGGTCAGTCTGGACAAATTAGGCGATGTTGATTTAAACCTAAGATCTTCGGGTCAGTAGGGAAGCGGTTCTCAACCGATGGGTCACGACCCTCTTTTTGTGTGTGGGTCGAACGACCTTTTCACAGGAGTCGCCAAAGACCATCGCAAAAGACATATTCACTGAAGTTATAAAGTAGCGACGAAAATAATTGTATGGTTGGGGGTGGCCACAACATGAGGATGGTTGAGAACCACTGCTCTTGAGCATATGATCTCTGATTTCGAAGAAAACTCTCCTAGTCTGATCTTTTTTTTTTTTTTTTTTCAAGTAAAGCTATGCAGTTACATAATACTTCATTTTCTTTTTAAATGGATGAAGTGAAAACATGCAGAATTTGCAAATAAATAAAGTTGAAGCGTTTAAAATTGCTTTTAATGGCAAGAGTTTCGAAGTTAATATTGCCTGGACGTTGTGAAGATTTTTCCCGCTCTAGCATAAACTGCAGGAGATGTAGAAAAACCTGGACACACAAACACACATCACGCTTCTCTTGTGCACCAACAGCCAATCAATAAAGGCACTCACGGAAGGCACAAAAAGGGGCTTAATAGTCTTGGCCTTGACCCTTTCTAGGTCGAGGTTGGCCATGGCTGGGTGGGACTGGATGGCCTGTAGAGTCTGCAGGCGTTGCTGTGGATCCAGTAGCAGGAGCTGAAAGAGAATGGGTATGTCATCAGGCGTGCCGCCAACAAGTTAACACTTGGTGGGTTCGATCCCACCCCTTCAACCCTAAACAAAATATTTAAAACACTGGGTTGGTCGTCCACGTCTGGAGTTTGATCATATCCCAGTAACTAAGTTTTGCCGGCACATCCGTTTTACAGATCTGGCTTATTTGTATGCAGTCAGTTTGTTTCTTGCCTTTCAAACATATGCTCTCTGATTTTAAAGGAAACTCCCAAAATTAGTCGCCCTGTGCGACACGCATTAAAAACGTAGTGGCTCTATTGTCCCCTCCCCCTCCCAGAACTGGGCCCAGGAGCCCACATGGCGAGCCGCCTTTAACAAAGAGCGTAAGCTAATTTTTGGGGAGGGGGAAGGTCACGGGACCTGGGCTGCCAGTTCGTGGCGCTTACGGTCGCCATTAGGCTAAGTGACCACATACAAGGACACGACAACTGGGCTGGCTGAGTGCTTACAACGTCGGGCTCTCGTGCGGGGGACTCGGGCTTGACCCCCCCCCTCCCCCATCCCCGTAAGATAATTAAACAATCTAACCCGTACAGTCCGTGGCGACAGCACTAGCCCTAGATTCTCAGACTCACTACACCGCTCTAAAAAGTGTTACACACCGGCAGTAGTGACAGTTTTGTGACACGACAACTTGATATGTGACGGACACGATAAATCAAAGCCATCGCCCAAATTGGACACCATATTGCTTCATAACCGTTGGGTGCACTGATGTGTTTTTCGGGTGTGCCACTGGACTGAAACTGATACAAGCGAGAGAGTGAGGTCGACGAAATTGCACAACTCTTCCTCACTTTAAATGAATGACTACACCATTAGTTCTCTATAATTGTAGCATTCTTGTAGCTCCATTTCTTATGCAGCTCCACAGGATTTCATTTGTAACCTCCTTGCCTTCTGGCCACACATTCCTCGGTGTGATTGGCTGTTCTTCTTACTATTAATCAGGATGTTTTAGAAAACGTGACATTGTCTAGTCATTGCGGCCAATGCTATTAAGGCTTGATTGGGCTGGTACTTGGCTGCAAAGTTTTTTGGCCAACAATTCCTTGGTTAACGAGAGAAGCAATCGGGTTGTATCCAAATAAAGGTTGTATATCATGCAAATTTGTTCGCGTCTAAACAGGAGGCATACCAATTTGGATTTATACCAGAGCGAACGTATGCCGAGGTAGCACTGTATTTGTCTATGCCATTCATACTTTTTTGAAAACAATTATTTTTTATTTGCCATTCAACACATGATATAGGCAGAATAATTAGTATTATTATTTTTGCTGGACAATGCTAGAGGCCCCCCCCCCCCTCCTTTCCAGAGCAGTGTCAGCCCCCTTGGGCCCCGGAAGGACATGTCATTAGCCTTGTATAAGGTCTTATAATGTGGAACCCACTTGTACAATCAGTCGTAAAAACTTAATATGGATTATTTACGTTTTTTCTAATGGTGGTATATAAGTGATAAATGAATTTTATCACTCATTTCAACGTTTTCTTTAGCCTTTGAATGTAATTTAAACCATTATCTTACACCAGCTAACTTCCAGCGGGATGAATTGTACTGTTTTATATGTGATTCTTGTGCTTCACTTGATCGATCCGTTGCCCCCCCCCCCCCTCCCCTCATCGTGATGCCAACTGAAATTTAACCATAGTAGGGGCTGAGTTATCTCTAGGTATGGCATCCGCCTAGAGTGCTGGAGTCCCGGGTTCAAACCCCGATGACGGTTGGGATTTTCACATGTGGACTTGTAGTAATTTCCCCTGGTCTCTGAGTAGTAAGATCGGACGCCCGTGCATTTTGTTGCGAACGTAAAAAAATACTTTTTCAGTTGGAAATCGGAAAGAGCAGCCTAACGGCGCTACCCAGGCAAAATTTTAAGTTAAAAATCTACCCAAAGTGTATCCTGTACTCGCCGGTGCACTGCGCTGAGATTCTCCAGGCTTCAGTTAGAAGTAAAACAGGGCACTTATGGGTTACACCCGTGTGCCAAGATGTTGATCCGTCGAATAAACCATACACCTAACCATAGTGAGGCAAACACACAAAAAATCTTAAATAGGATGGCAAATCAAGAGGGTAGATCTTAGATACCCCATTCAAGCTTTGAAAAAGTTACATAAGGCAATTGTAAAGCTACAGCAGCCTAGCGTAGCCTGCAGTTCTGTTCATCTGGTTTACCATACGAATAAGGACGATGTTATTCTGTTTCTGACAGTGCGCTCACTCTTTTCCCAGATGGGTCAAGCAATTTCTGAATCTATATAAGATCTTGACATTCTGTCTTAAAAACAGAAAATTATGCACACAAATATAAGCAGCAACCGTTTGTCAGGCGAAGGATAATGTTAAGACTGATAGAGAAATATTGATAAAATATGCAAAGAATATCTGCTGATGTTAGAAGATGCATAATTTATTCCACAAAAAGTTGAAAATATCGAACAATAACACGTACCTGTCTCAGTATATCATTCATTTCGTCGGAAACATTGGAAGGAAAATGCATTTTGGTGTTGCAAATTGCATGCACTGTTTCTTGAGGAGACATCTCGCTATAGATATTGAATGGCCTCTGCGGAGATAAGATATTAGAAACACGCGAATGAAGATGGCAAACACAGTAAACGTGACGGATGTTTGATTTTTCCCCCCTCTCTCTGAAGCAGAAATACGGCTCTGTGGCCAAGTCGATGCGAACGCTTCGTAATGCCGGGGTGCCGGGTTTGATCCCAGCTGCGGCCATGCGCCTTGCGTTGGTTTCGACAGTGGTATCAGGGGGCCGACCGTCTAGAAAGCAATGGCAAACTACTGGACGTAAATTTGCCTATAGAAACCACACAACAGCCAGGGGCTGCTGGGGTTGGTTCTGCAACGTTCTGTAAAGGATACACAACTAACCTAACCTGAAGCAGAAATATACAATTTGATAAAGTTTATGTGAAATGAGTAGAAACAGAAAATGAAGACGTGTATGAATAAATCAGAAATGCACTATATGAATGTTTATCATAACAAGTGCAAGCAGAATGAGAATCAAAATTTAAAAAAATAATAATAATTCGGCATCATTATGTTGTTCATTTAGTCTAGTAGAGCGGTTCTCAACCTGTGGGTCGCGACCCTTTTCTGGGTCGAACGACCCTTTCACGGGGGTCGCCAAAGACCATCGGAAAACAAATATTCACTCAAGTTCTGGAGTAGCAAAGAAAATAATGTTATGGTTGAGAGTAACCACTACATGAGGAACTCTAGTAAAGGGTCGTGGCATTATGAAGGTTGAAAACCACTGGTCTAGTGCCATCATAACATTGTTAAATCAGTTTAGTGCCATTCTCTACAATGAAAAGTGGCCGTCGATTAAAATTTAGACGGTGAATGACGGGACATGAATGCAGAAAACATACGAACAGCTATGCAAGAGAGTGCGTGAAAGACAGAGAGAATGTGAATACAAGGATGATTAAGAGTGATTGTCTGTGTTCATACAAGCATGGCTGCGATATTTGCACCTTTAGGCCAATACCTCTAAATTTTGCAGGCATTTGTTGACCGGGCTAGCCTTTCCGGATGAAGTTTAAACTGTTATTATAAAAGAAGTGTTAAATGGATGTAGTCGCGTGGAATCTCAAAATGTCCAGAAAAGATTAGTTTTAGATTTATCTTAGTACACTTAATATGGGCACCATATGTAGCTCTAGTGATGTCTAGACCATATGAAGTCTCCGGCTACGTCTTCCGAATCGTGTGCAGAGTTACAGCTTCTTTGTCTCGGCAACCTCTCTTTATGTGTATGTAGGCCAGCCAGTGTATGTAGTCAAGCTTATGTATGTAGGCCAGCCAGTGTATGTAGGCAAGCTTATGTATGTAGGCAAGCCAGTGTATGTAGGCAAGCCAGTGTATGTAGGCAAGCCAGTGTATGTAGGCAAGCCAGTGTATGTAGTCAAGCTTATGTATGTAGGCAAGCCAGTGTATGTAGGCAAGCCAGTGTATGTAGTCAAGCCAGTGTATGTAGTCAAGCCAGTGCATCTAGTTAAGCTAATGTATGTAGGCAAACCAGTGTATGTAGTCAAGCCAGTGTATCTAGTCAAGCTAATGTATATAGGCAAGCCAGTGTATGTAGGCAAGCCAGTGTATGTAGGCAAGCCAGTGTATGTAGGCAAGCCAGTGTATCTAGGCAAGCAAGTGTGTGTAGGCAAGCCAGTGTATGTAGTCAAGCCAGTGTATGTAGGCATGCCAGTGTATGTAGGCAAGCCAGTGTATGTAGGCAAGCCAGTGTATGTAGGCAAGCCAGTGTATGTAGGCAAGCCAGTGTATCTAGGCAAGCAAGTGTGTGTAGGCAAGCCAGTGTATGTAGTCAAGCCAGTGTATGTAGGCAAGCCAGTGTATCTAGGCAAGCTAGTGTATGTAGGCAAGCCAGTGTATGTAGTCAAGCCAGTGGATCTAGTCAAGCCAGTGTATGTAATCAAGCCAAGAAACCAAGTAAGTAAAATAAAGGTCCCTTCTTTACACGCCAATGGCGCATTGTGTGAGACCATGTCTGAAACAAATTCGCACCATGCAGAACTGAACTCACGATCTACAGATCCGTAGGCGAGCGTATAGCCGACCCCCCCCCCCCCCCCCCAAAAAAAAAAACCAAGCCATGCAGCCAATGTATGTACAGACTCTTGTAGCCAGTCTTTATATCCAAGCCATATACCCAATTTATGCTCAAAGTCATGTAGCCAGTCTTTGTATCCAAGCCATATAGCCAATTCATGTACAAAGTCATGTAGTCAGTCTTTCTATCCAAGTCATTTAACCATTTCATGTACAAAGTCATGTAGCCAGTCTTTGTATCCAAGTCATTTAACCATTTCATGTACAAAGTCATGTAGCCAGTCTTTGTATCCAAGTCATTTAACCATTTCATGTACAAAGTCATGTAGCCAGTCTTTGTATCCAAGTCATTTAACCATTTCATGTACAAAGTCATGTAGCCAGTCTTTGTATCCAAGTCATTTAACCATTTCATGTACAAAGTCATGTAGCCAGTCTTTGTATCCAAGTCATTTAACCATTTCATGTACAAAGTCATGTAGCCAGTCTTTGTATCCAAGCCATATAGCCAATTCATGTACAAAGTCATGTAGCCAGTCTTTGTATCCAAGTCATTTAACCATTTCATGTACAAAGTCATGTAGCCAGTCTTTGTATCCAAGTCATATAGCAAATTCATGTACAAAGTCATGTAGCCAGTCTTTGTATCCAAGTCATATAGCAAATTCATGTACAAAGTCATGTAACGAGTCTTTGTATCCAAGTCATATAGCAAATTTATGTATAAAATTTATATCCCAGTCTGGTCTGGTGACATTGATGCAGCGGGGAGTGACGATAGGTTCTGGCAAATGCTCGAGGCTGAGAGGAAAGGCAAGACGGACGTTTTATCAGGATGCTACTGGCACCATTAGCATCGAAACTTTTCACTGGCTGCTGAAGATGGGGACGGAGCGCTTATGTGAATGCTCGAGTGTTGGAATCAACTCAACTCAACTCTATATCCAAGGCTTTGTATAAACACAAACTAAATTTTATATAGGTAGTTTGGATGAAATTTCTATTATCATCCTCAAGAATGAACTAGTATGTGACTTTTACATTTCTTGTTACACAAAACTCTATCACAGACAAATATGTGTAAACAGCATCACCACGACAGTCATTATTACAATATTACTGTGAATGATGAGCTGTCTACGGTCGCTTTTTTTTTTATTTGCCTCAACTTAGCACTGCTGTTTTTCCAGCTTCTACCCAAAGAATTCTGCCAGCTGGCTACGCCTTTCTCTACACAACTCTAGGAATCATATAAACGCACAAGTACCTCTACCGCTGCTTTCTATGTGTGCCAATCAGTTTATATTAATTTGTCAATTAATTAATAATTTGTCAATTGCTGCAAGGTAGAGACAACATGGAACATGATGATGATGGTATACGAGGAAATCAAGAGAAGGTAACCACTAACCCGTTTCTTCAGCAGCTCATACAGAGTCACACCCAAGGCCCACCAGTCCACGGAAAAACTGTAGCCTCTGATGTCTCCAAGAGCAGTCTGGAAGATTTCAGGCGCTGGAAGATCAAAGCAAGGAAGCGTTGTTAGGCACTACTTTTGGAAGCTTGGTAATTAGTACAGTTATCCTTCCTCTATCCATCTCTCTCACGCATAGATAAACACCGGCCCACCACACACACACACATACACACATATATATACACACACACTCTTGCCACATCACACACACACATATATACACACATTGTCTCTCATGTCTATATATATATATATATATATATATATCTATATATATATTATATATATATATATATATATATGTGTGTGTGTATATATATATATATATACATTTATATACACACACATACACATTGTCTCTCTTATGTCTACTTGCTATATATATATGTGTGTGTGTGTATATATATATATATTATATATATATATATATATATATATATGTGTGTGTGTGTGTGTGTTTACACACACACACCCACATATATATATATATATATATATATATATATATATATATATATATATATATATATATATATATATATATATATATACGGTTTTAAGCAATTTTTTTTTTAGTTATCTTCTCTATACTTCGTGCGTATAACATCTCTACCTCCTTGTGTCACATATACACTGCTAGCTACGCGTGTTAAACATCTCTACCTCCTTGTGTCACATTTACACTTCTAGCTACGCGTGTTAAACATCTCTACCTCCTTGCGTCACATATACACTGCTAGCTACGCGTGTTGAACATCTCTACCTCCTTGTGTCACATATACACTGCTAGCTACGCGTGTTTAACATCTCTACCTCCCTGTGTCACATATACACTGCTAGCTACGTGTGGTGAACATCTTATCCTCCCTCTATCTGACTTAGACTGTAAGCTGCCTATGTTAAAAATTTCACCACCACCCCATCTTCCATAGACTGTAACATCTCAACGTCCGACCATCTTCCCTTGACTGTAAAATCTCAACGTCCGACCATCTCCCATAGACTGTAACATCTCAACGTCTGTCCATCTCCCATAGACTGTAACATCTCAACGTCCGACCATCTACCATAGACTGTAAGCTACGTTTGATGAACAACCCAACGTTTCTCTAAGTCCAATAGATTTTAAACTACGTCTGATGAACAAATCAATGCCCCCCCCCCTTTTTTTTTTCCACCCCACCCCCAATTTCCCATAGACTGTTAGCTACGCTTATGATATACAGCTCAACGTTTCTCCATCTCCCATAGGTTGTAAACTACGTTTGTTGAACATCTTAAAGTTCCCCCCATCTCCCATAGATTGTGAACTACGTTTGATAAATATCTCAAAGTTTCCCCATCTCCCATAAACTGTAAGTTACGTCTGATCAACACGTCATCGTACTTACCCATATATGGCTTTGTGCCAGATAATGAAGTTGCCAGACTATCTCTCGACAGCTCTGATGCAATGTTGAAGTCTGTGATATGTGCGTGACCTATGCAGTCAGTTATAAATAAGTATTGCTTAAATTGGTACTTTAAAGAATTATATAGTAACTTTCCTGACAAGAAGAAGAGGATAAAGGGGGAAGGGGAGAGGGGAGAGGTCTACAGCCAAGTAGTGTTAAACAATAATATTGGCAGAATGTTTCCTCTGCGGTCTGAGCAACAGCAACTAGCGCTGTGGTGGTACTTTAATTTTAGGCGACCACATCTCGTCGGCTTTGAGATTTTGTAGGAATCTCCTTACACAGTATCATACTACATGGGTTAGGTTAAATGAATAGCGCCTACTCCTAATTTTAACCCCCCTATAATATGGTACTGTCTATGGAGATCCGTACGAAATATCGAAGGTGACGAGATGTGGTCGCCTAAAATTAAAGTACCGGCACTGCTGCTAGAGGGTTAAAGTGCATTTTCTTCCGAGTGATAGCTGTCGCACAGCGTCACATACATAGCCACCAGACCCCGGGAAATCAGGCCCATTGAGCGTCCTCCCCTCACCCCTCAATAATTCTTAAAAGGTTGAGATGCCACCTAGAAAATTGGCTTTCTCACTGTGTCCATCCCAAATTATCTGCAGTTTTTCTTTTCTGTTCTTTCACTTTTTTTTTTTCATTCTAAATATATTATTATATTTACTTGTTTTACACACAAACTTTATTAAAATAATAATTATTGCTTTTTCAAACAAAGACCTTGATGCCTCCAGGCATACATTCATTGGGTCGGGGAAAAAACCTTCATTTTTTTCTCACGACGCCCCTGTTCGCCCACCGAATCGACAATTCTTAGGTACAAGTAATTGTCGACATTACCACTCTCTTCTGGGGTAACAAGACACGGCATGTCTGCTGCTTAAAAAAAAAAATTGTGGGAAGTAGGGTGGGGGAGGCAAATTCATGGATCTAATTACAAACTTTCTCCAAACCAAATATGAAGCCTTTAAAACAATCACCAAGGGCGGAACTGGAATATGAAACCTGCCTATAGATTTTAATCTAACGGAAATGAAATGTGAAACCTGGCTATAGATTTGTGTCTCAATGTAATACGTGAAGCTAGCAGCCGGCGCAAATGATCTTTTGTCTTTGTTTTACAAAAGAGAAAAAGAATCTTTTTTTAGAGAAGAAGAAGAATCCAGGGTAAAGTGATTTTTTTAAAAAATCCTGCTGTTGCTGACTTCTTCTTCTTCTTCTTCTTCTTCTTCTTCTTCTTCTTCTTCTTCTTCTTCTTCTTCTTCTTCTTCTTCTTCTTCTTCTTCATCTTCTTCTTCTTCTTCTTCTTCTTCTTCTTCTTCTTCTACTACTTTTGTGTCTCTTTTCAATCGTCTTCTTCTTTTTTTAAATCTTCTTTTTCTTCTTCTTCTTCTTCTTCTTCTTCTTCTTCTTCTTCTTCTTCTTCTTCTTCTTCTTCTTCTTCTTCTTCTTCTTCTTCTTTTTCTTCAGTTTGCATCCAAAACGGTGATCGGAACATTGTGTTTTCCGATCCAATACTTTCAACATCAGCAAACTTTTAATAAGTCGCCACTTACGGCATGCTTATGAAGAGGCAGTGGGTCTACCCCTCCTGTTTGGGGGAGTGGGGGGGGGGGCGGGGGGGATTTCTGTCATCCTATTTGATAAAGTATGTTTTTGTCACGTAAACATCAAATCTCCGGCTAGATGGCGACAGGATATTAATTATGTTCATATTTCCTAGTTGACGATTGATACTGGGTGATAGTTCCGGCTACTGTTAAGTAAGACTTTATGCCAATGGTCTCCAACTTGTGGGAGAAGGGCTCCGCGAGGAGGTTTCAAGGCTCTAATAATCCGTTATATTTTGTCTGCTTAAGTACAAATAAAAAATATAAAACAAACACATTAAAAAAATATCTATCAAATAAAAAGCAAAGGAATGTTTTTCATATGCAGTTTGTATATATAAATTTGCATATTTGAGCATGGATTACAAAATGGGACGGCGTTTTCACAAGCGCTCATAGTTTGTTTTGTACGGTCGCTTCCGTCGAAAAAAAGACGGGTAACCTTGTGATCCACGAAGAAAAATCGGCCACGAAATTACTAGCGACCACAACAGTTACAAGGGAAGTCAGATATACACGCTGTTCAAACTTAGATGTTAAATTTATGAAATTACGTAATTTCAGCAACTATCAGAAAACCTTTAACACAATGATGTTTCACAAATGAAACAAAGATTTTCAGCATAAAATAAAGTTCTAGTTTCATTGTGTGTGTGTACGTGCGTGCAAAAATATTTCTCTCTCTATATATATGATTCTGTGTGTGTGTATTTGTGTGTGTGTGTGTGAGAGAGAGAGAGAGAGAGAGAGAGAGAGAGAGAGAGAGAGAGAGAGAGAGAGAGAGAGAGAGAGAGAGAGATCGGTATGTTCTTTCCATAAGACATTTGCAATGATTAACTTCTCATTTTCAAGCTAAAAAATAAATAAAGCATATGTCAACAAATATGAGTTTGATTGGACTCCTTCTTATGACCTGCTCATATCAGTTCGCTCAGTCGTATCTGAGCTTCAACCACCAGTGAAACGGTATTGATTATTGGCAAGATTTAGATGTTGCTGGCCACATGAAAGCGCGTATACTGAGAGTGAAAGTTGTACTCAGTAAAGTCAAGTAAAACAGCCTTATTACACTATTACTGTAGCAGACGTATGGTGCTATACTCAAATATGTATTGACCATTGGGTACTTGATGGCTGAGGTGGTCAACTCTGCCGGCCATACTTTCTCACTGAGACATTTGTATAATACTGATGAGCCAGCCCGCCAAAAACATATGCTGTCTATTGGTATATTTCTCCACTGGCTTAAGCCTCGGTGTTTTTATTTTCCTGATTGGTAAACATAGCTCTATTTTCCAATTTACGTTCGTCATGGATCGATTTATTCTTTTTCTTCTCTTCCCCCTCGTACTTCATCGAAGTGTCAGGGGGAAATGTAACGTTCGTTGATGAGCTCTGTTAAGAGCACTATTAAGACTGAGGTTCATTTCTGTAAGGCTGTTTTTAATGCCATCACTCTATCTATTAAGACTGAGGTTCATTTCTGTAAGGCTGTTTTTAATGCCATCACTCTATATTTTTCGAGATCTTCCACTCGCCCTATACCCGTTGTAACGTTTTAGTGTGGCTCGCTGTGGCAGATAGTACCAGGACATTCTTGTTAGTTGCCCAAACCACTTTATTTATTGTCTTTCGATGATCTGCAAGACTGGCTTTATTCCTAGCATTCGTCTGATTTCGTGATTTCGATTTATTACTCTCGAATAATGAAAACAATTGCAAATGTCGCCAGTTCTCATATCGCGTGTATCTTCTACCGGAATCTCCTGACTACACGGGTCCAAATCCAGTCCCGATATCCTCCTTCGATCCACTCACTTGAATGTCAACTTTAATGAAGAGAAAATCTGCATGAAAAATAGAAAGAGGAACCGTATACTAGATATCTTCTGTTTGATACTACGCGTCTGCTACCTGTATAATTTGTCTGCGCCTGCAAATATACTTTCAACTATCACTGCTGGCTGTTTTATTACTTTTTTTTTAAAAGAGCGGTGTAAACAGGGGATCATGAGCTTAGCATTTAGAGCCACATGGCTAGTGCTGTCGCCATGGACTGTGGAGGTAAGGATGTTAAATTTTGCCCCCGACAGAAAAACCCCATCACCTTACCGGGGGTCGAAACCGGATCTCCGGAATGACTGGGTTATAACTTACTTTTGCTCATAGGTCCACCAATCCTAAACTGGGTCTGATGAAATTTCCTGGAAAGTAAAGGCTGCCGGTATGATTCTGGTACATCGAGTGATTTACCTTTAACAATATGGATCTAGCAACATATGCCCGATGCGCCACTGACAAGGGTCTTTTAGTTTTGTTACCACTGCATTATTTATCTCTCTATTACCACAAGTCGGCTCTGTGGCTGAGTCGATGCAAACGCTTCGAAATGCCGGGATGTAGGGTTCGATCCCAGCTGTGGGCCATGCGCCTTGCGTTGGTTTCGACAGTGGTATCAATAAAGCCGACCGTTCAGTCAGCAATGGCAAAATACTGGACGTAAATTTGCCTTGAAAAACCACAACAGCCAGGGGCTGTTGGGGTTGGTTCTGCAACGTCCTGTAAAGGATACGCAACTAGCCTATTACCACACGAGCAAAATTCGCAAACAAAAAATGTATTGTTATGTTCATAATCACATTCAAATACTCTGAACTGTTTGAGTCTGCCTAGAGGTTCTAGAGTCTTGTTGAGGGCGGGGGGGGGGGGGGGGGGGGGGAGAACAACTGTTCCTTAAAAAGCATGACATAAAGGTCACAATCTAGGTAATCGCTAAAACTGTTACTTTATTCTGAAAGGTTGCAAATATCACAGGTCTGCTGCAAGCCACAACTTAGCGTAGCAGCCACCTTTTCCCATGCGAATATAGGTGAGCCATCATCATCACGTGCCCTGCCGACTGGCGCAGACGTTCATGCATCTCCATAAATCTCGGCCCCTTGTCTTGTGGATCAGTTTTACCGATGATACCCCTCCGTGCCAGCGTCGCAGTCCATCATCTCTCTTGGTCTGCCTATTCCTCTTCTACAGTTGATTTCCTAATCGTCCCAATATACTCCAAAAGCCTTCCCTCTCATGATATGACCATAGAACAGTGCTTGTCTTTGTCTTGCAGCTGAATATATTGACTTGCTTTCATTAGCTTCTTTCAAGCAACAGTAGTTAGTTACTCTGGGAGTCCAAGGAATTCTTAACATTCGTCTAAAGAAGAACAAAAAACAATCTTCGTCGCTTCCAATTTTTTTTTAAATTTGTGTACTCACATTCCATGATTCTCAGCAAATAAGTTCTACGTAACATTTTAGAACTCTCTTTCAGACATCCAAAGAGAGGGACCTGTTGCATAAGATGTTTTCAATTCTGTGAAAAGCAGCCTTTGCCTGTTCCATTCCTGCTCTTAATTTC